AGAGGTGCTCGGTCTGATAGCCTAGTGACTTAATCCTCACATTGCCTGCACCAAGATTCCATATGGGCACCAGTTCGTATACCTGCTGCTCCACTTCCCTTCCAGCTCCTCACTTGCATCCTGGGAAGGCAGCAGAAAATGACCTACATGGGAGACCCAGAAGAAGCTTCTGGCTCCTGGCTTTGGATCAGCTCAGCTCAGCTCCAACTGTGGCCAGTTGGGGAGTGAATCAGTGGATGGAAGATCTTTCTCTCTACCTCTCCTCTCTGGAAATCTGCCCTTTCAATAAAAATAAATAAATCTTTTAAAAAAATTAAAACAATGTCCCCAATGAAGCAGCAAATATTTTATCATCAAATATTTTCCCACTGGGTGCAGGGGGAGGAGGGGCTTATCATTTGATGCAAAAAAAAAATTAAAAGAAATGAAGAATGACACCACATAAAGATCAAATAATCCATTCAACAACAAGAGATCACCATAATAAATGTATATGTGATAAATGCCAAGGCATCTAGCTACATGAAACAAACATATGAATGAATTTAAAGGAAGACATAGACTTAGACTCCAACACAATAATAGTGGGGGACTTTAATACCCCTTTAACATCAATGGACAGATCAATGAGACAGAAACTCAGCAAAGAAACAACAGGACGCACCCAGACATGACAGTAAATGGAATTAGTTGATATCTACTGAACCCATCATCCTACAGATAGAGAATACACTTTTTTCATCAGTACATGGAATCTTATGGCCATGTTATAACTCATAAAAAAAGCCTCAGCAAATTTTTAAAAATCAAAATTATACAATGCATCTTCTCAGAGCATCAAGGAATGAAACTAGAGACCAAGAAGTCAAAACACCCAGGAAGACATGCAAATATATGGAGACTGAATAACATGCTACTAAATGATTTAGAGAGGAAATCAAAGGGAAAATTAAAATATTGCTTGAAACAAATGAAGGCATCAACACAATATATCAAAACCTATGTTACACATTAAGGCAGTGTTAGGAGGAAAGTTCATCTCAATCAATGCTTAGGTTAAGAAACCAGAAATGCATCAAGTGAATCAGCTATCCTTACAGTTAAAGGAAACAGATAGACAACAACAAAGCAATCCCAAGGTTAGTACAAAAAGAGAAATAATCAAAATAAGGAAGGAAATAAACCAAACAGAGACCAGAAGAACAATGCTATAAAATCAATGAATCAAGGAATGGGTTCTTTGAGAAAATCAATAAAACAGACTCCCCACTAGCCCAACTAATCAAAAAAGGGAGGGAGAAGATACTCATCAATAGCATCAGAGACAAGAAAAGAACTATAATAACTGATACCTCAGATATACAGATATTTATTAAGTACTGTTACAAGCAACAATATGTGAATAAATCAGAAGACCTAGAAGAGATGGATATCTCAGCTATGATGGACTATGTCAATCAGTGGATTTTTCAAAGATCTCATAGTGCTTGGAGTGGCAAGATTGACAGTGATTCATAACTGTGGCAATATCAAGACCACTTGAGCAAGAACCTCAGAGCATGCCCTATATCCGGGACCTGGGGAGGGTGGGAAATTGGGTGGGCTTCTCCCTTAAATACCCCCCTTTGAATATGAAGCTAACAATATGGAAAACATACTAGTATTATCCACTTTCCTGTAGCCCTTGAACCTTCTTACCCTAATTAACTATGTAAAGAATGTCAAAATAAAATTTATTAATAAGAAAAAAAAAAGAGATGGATAGATTTTTGGACACATACAATCAACCAAAATTGAATCAAGAAGCAGTTAATAACATAAATAGACCTATAACAAGGACTCACATTGAATCAGTAATTAAAGCCCTCCCAGCCAAGCAAAGTCCTGAACCAAGATGGCTTCATTACTGAATTGTATCAAATGCTTCAAGAGGAACTTACACCAATCCTCCACAAGCCTTTCCAAATAACAGAAAGGAAGACAATCCTTCCAAACTCTTTGTGTGATGCCAATATCACCAGATAGAGACACAATAGAAAAAGAAAACAACAGAACAATATCCCTGATGAACACAGATGCAAAAGTCCTCAACAAAATACTAGCCAACAGGATCTGTGGATGATCCCTTTTAGGAGACCGCGACTGAAGTGTGACAATGGTGCCGAGAAAGATCAGGACAAACAGGATGCAAGGTGAGTGAAGCAATAATGCACACTTTATTGAACTCGTATGTGTCCTGTGTTCATTGCTTTTCCTTGTTTTGCTGTACATTATGACTCGAGATTCACCTCATGTCATTGCATGTATCAGTAATTTATTTATTTGGTTTTCTTAGTGTGTTACCTTTCACAACCCTGCTCATGTCGGTTCTTTCACGAAGCCCCCTCTACTTTAGGCAGGTAGGTGCCCTCTCCGAGATTTCACAGCATTCTGTAGGTCTATAACCTAATAAGACCACTTACCATATTGAATGCAGCCTATCATAACTTTTAAACAATGCAGCTAGGGAACCAAATTCCCAGCACAAAGACTAGCATATAATACAATCTTGTTTATGATATTCGGATTCTCCAGAGAAACAGAAAAAACACAGTGTACTTCCAAAGGAATTTCAAAAATTTCATAGAAAACTAAATTAACTTTGTTGTAAAAAAAAAGTTTTGGGCCCGGCGCGGTGGCGCAAGTGGTTAAGTCCTCGCCTTGCACGCCTGGGATCCCATATGGGCGCCAGTTCTAATCCCGGCAGCCCCGCTTCCCTTCCAGCTCCCTGCCTGTGGCCTGGGAAAGCAGTCGAGGACGGCCCAAAGCTTTGGGACCCTGCACCCACGTGGGAGACCCGGAAGAGGCTCCTGGCTTCGGATCGGCATAGTATCGGCCCGTTGCGGCTCATTTGGGGAGTGAATCATCGGACGGAAGATCTTCCTCTCTGTATCTCCTCTCTGTATATCCGCCTTTCCAATAAAAAAAAAATAATAAAAATAAATCTAAAAAAAAAAGGTTTAAAATCATGTCTTTTTTTTAACAGTGCACATTTCCATGAAGTTTTTTTCAAAAGATTTATTTATTTATTGGAAAGTCAGATATACAGAGAGGAGGAGAGACAGAGAGGAAGCTCTTCTGTCCGATGATTCACTCCCCAAGTGAGCACAAAGGCTGGTGCTATGCCGTTCCGAAGCCAGGATCCAGGAACTTCTTCCAGGTCTCCCACATGGGTGCAAGGTCCCAAAGCCTTGGGCCGTCCTTGACTGCTTTCCCAGGCCACAAGCAGGGAGCTGGATGGGAAGTGGAGCAGCCGCGATTAGAACGGGCGCCCATATGGGATCCTGGCACGTTCAAGTTGAGGACTTTAGCCGCTAGGCCACACCGCCGGGTCCTCCACGAAGTTTTTGGGGATCCTATGTATATGTATTTATTTATATCCCTCATACATATGATGTAAAAAAAAAGCTTAAATTAAAATAAAATTGTCCTTTGCTTCCATTTTCCACAAACTTAAAAAATATCTTTGTATACATATATGTAGACTCTTGGAGAGCTTATGATGTAGATTCAGCCTGATTTCCAGTGGACACAAAAGGCAATGCTCACTTCAAGTGAGAGAGGCAGTAACTAACTCAAAGGCAGTCAAGCAAAAGTTCTTTCCTGAGCAGAAGCTCTCTCTTGATAGATTTTTTTCCCCCTGTTATTCAGGTATCCAACTAATTGCCAAGGTCCACTCACATTAGGAGGGCAATTTGCACCAGCTGCTGATTCACATGCTAAACCCATCCAAAAACATCTTCATTGAAACACGCAGAACAACACTAGAACAACTATTTGGATACCCCAAAGCCCAGTTAAGGTAACACAAGGTAAGGTTTATTCACTGAGTTTGTCTTTGTCATCACTCTCAGAAGAATAGATATGTAAAGGCCATTTCTGCAAAGCAAAATAAAAGAGGGTGTACAACTCACAGTGTGCCTTTGCAGTTTATTACTCATAGACAACCATATCAAAAGATTACTACATGGAAAGTTCCAGTTATAAACAATAATTTTCAATAATTTTATTATAGCATATTATTATAATTATTTGGTCTTGCTAATCATTGCTATTATCTTACTATTCCTAATACAGTTATTATTTACTATGGCTAATATAAATTAAAAGTTGCAAGCACCTGCTGGGAATCTTGGAATGTATTCTCCATGGATAGGGGGATTAGTGTATACAGAATTCAAGTTTTATTTTGCCCGAGAATTAACTTCTTATCTGAGCAGCAAAGACTATGTAAGATTGAGGGAGGAGAACACTCGTGTAAGGGGGACAAGCAATACCCACACAGAAGGTTCTTCCCCAGGTTAGATTCAGGTCACACTAAGAAAGAAAATTCTTTGATCAAAATCTAGTGCCCCAATAATTACATGCACAGGACTCTTCCCAGCTGGAGGAAATCCAAACAGCTCTCCAGAACTGGAATATCCACTACTGCTATCCTCAGGGATCAATCTTGGCTCTGAGTTAGTTCCTATGGAAACCAACTACGTCTTGTTTTTCCTCTGGTGATGTTCAAGAAAGCCCAGACAGACTCTTATGTAACATATATTCTAATAAGTGGCTTTACACCAAAATAGATGATTAGGTCCTCTGGAAAAAAACAAAGCAATGGTATTGTGCAAGAGGCCAGCATGTTCCCAAGTTGCAAATCCTGGAAAGTAATTATTCTCATTTGTCACACTGTGTTTCGCTTCTTTATTTCCAAGAAAAACATGTATACTTTAGAAAATACATTTAAAAAACTAAAAAAAGGAAGCTTAACATGACCATAAACATTTTTTCTTCTTGTATTGTGGAAAAGAATGTCAAATATAATATGCAATCCTTTTTCTTCTCCCCTCCAACCTCACCATTCCCCTAGCTGAGCTACACAATCTAATCACTTGGTCCTTGTTGGCCCTGCCAATTTCTCTCCCAACTAACTGCTTAGTTAGTTGATCAAGTACTTACTGAGTAATTATCTTGGCCCAAGTACTGTTGTAGACATAGTTGTTTGTTAGTAAACGAATTCAGTAAGTTTTCTGCCCATGTGGATGTCACATTCTGTGAGAGGAGACAGAAATAAATTTGTCAACAAATTAATAAGCAGAAAACTACCACACCTGCCTTCAGATTTTGGCTCTTGGCCACAAACTGGTGCTTTTGAATGTGCTTTATAATAAAGCAGGAGAGAGCCTGGAAGCTTATCTAGAGAGAACAGAGTAGTCCAGCACTGCTTGAAAATGTGGAGCAGTGTTTGCCAAGTGTGGGCACCTGCCTAAGATACAAACTCCCAGACATACTAATTCACAGCTCCTAAAGGTAGGACCCAAGAATCACTGGTGGCAATTACAATAGCTCATTGGTTTTTCAAAATGCTACAAAATATCTGTGTGGAAAAATCTAGAATACACCCATGGAGCAGAACCCTCACCAGGGCCACACTGAAAAACCACAATCTGATTTCCATAGCTCTCATGTGTGGTTATTGGTTTAAATAACTGTATGCATCTTCAATGGCAGACGATTAGAATGATGACCAGAAGATTAATACACTAAGCAACATAGACTCAATAAAAGTGTTGAGATTACCGAGAGATTTCATTTCTCTTCCATTGTGCCCTTCAAGATGTAAAATTATTTCTTTTCATGCTGCCAGAACAAATGGACTCCAATCTGGTGTTGCCCTGCACCACACAATTTATTAAATGACATTTGGAAGCCCTCATAAAAATGACAAATATATGTGCACTTAGAGCTCTGAGTACAGTCAGTCTTTCAGATCATCAATCTACTGTGACTACATTTGGAGATTTGGTGTGTGTTTGTGTACACATGGACCTTGTGTAAGGAAAGCTCCCTTCTCCCTCAACAGAATCCAAGAAAATTAGAGAATGGGCAAGATTGATATTAGCCAGTCTTCCAGCTGTAATGCAATCTGTACACTGCTAGCTCAGAACTCCAATCTGCAGCTTTCTCTGCCGAATTGCCAGTGTACCTGTGCAATGATCTGTTGGACCTCCATGCTATCTTTAATACGCATCTAAAGCATTCAACAACTGAAACTGAGCTGACCTTCCTGTTTCCCTCCCTTTTCCTCATCTCAGTTGATCCTACCTCCTGTCTAGTTGTTCAGTGGCCCTTGATTCTTGTTTCTCTTTACACAGACCGATTCATGGAACAGCACTTTCTATTTCTGCTTGAAAAGTATGTCCAGATGCACCCACTTCTCCATGTTAACTCTCACCATTGCAACCTGCCCTCACATTTGCACTGTATCAACATAGGAGCCTTCTGAACGGTCCCTTTACCGTCATACGTGCCCTTCCTTCAGCCTCCTCCAGTGGTGAGAGGGTTTTTTTTTTCATTTTATTTATTTATTTATGTTTTCATTTTATTGTGCAAAATATTAAGGAAATGTTAAAGAGAGAATACTACACTGACAAAAAGCCCTGGAGCTCGACAAGATCCAGCTTCAACAATTGTCATTCCCTTTTATTTATATTCCTACCCACTTTCCCCCCAGTCTTAAACTAGAGGAGGGCCGGAGAGAGCTCCTCAATGACTTCCTACCTCATTCAGATGAAATCTAAAATGACTGCATGGCACACAAGTGCCCCTTCCCTCCTTCTTGATTGCCCCCCAAGTCATTGGCCTCCTGGATGCTCCTGCCACAGGCCCTTTGCACTTTTTTCCTAGAATGCAGACTCTCCCTTCCCCAGTTGACTCCAGTGGCTTGCGTGTTTCCTCTCTCCACATCTGTCAGCCTGATTCTGCTGACTGCCTATACGTGGCAAAATCCAAATGTTCCTCTTTCCTAAATGCCTACTAATAGCTATAGTTTTAAAAATCTGTACTATTTACTCTCCAGCTATGCATCTTTATACAAATGTGAATTCCCTTATCTGACTTGTGCCTGCAAAGATGTAATCCTTTCTTGTAAAAAGACACTAACCCTTTCTCTGAGCTGTCCAGTAGGTGCCACGCTGCACTCAGTAATACTTGTGTGAAGAACAAGTACTGTATAATCCTGACAGTCATAGCAATTCATTTGCAATTCTACTCAATTTTATTCTAGTGTTATATTATAACATGATAATAATCCAAGCAATGCTCTTTACTATTTCATTTTATTGGACAAGAAGGGAGATAGAAATTTTCCATCTGCTGGTTCACTCCTCAAGTTGCCTGAAGGACCCTAGCCGAGTCAAAGCCAGGAGCTGGAAACTCAGTGCATGTCTCCCACACAAGTGACAGGAATCCAACTACTAAAGTGATCACCTGCTGCTTCCTAGGGCATGCATCAGCAAGCTGTTTGATGAGAAAGCAGTCAGGACTTGAACTCGGGGACTGTGGTATGCGATATGGACATCCCAAATGGGGTCTAAACCACAGAGCCAAGTAATTTAACAGCTAGGTGATTGTGAATGTACTTAATGACACAGAAGTAAATATTTTTAAATTACCAGAAAGTGAAGATTCATGTCATGCAAAGTTACTACATAACCAACATAGAAATTGGGATTTGGTGGTTGCTGAAATGAAGCACAATATCCCCCACAGAGCTTAGAGGTTTTCACTGACCTCCTACCCCCCAGGATCTCACTTGTAACTCAAGAACCTAACTGTTTAAGCAGAGTCAGTTCTGAGGCTGGCCAGACCCCTCCTTGTACCTGTACCTCAAGGGATGATACTTTGAGTATCAGCCCTATGTGTCTTTTCATCTGTATATTCATCTTTGTATTTACTTACCACTACCTGACCTCCCAAGACCCAGAGAAATGCAGGTACAATGAGCAGATACTCTAAATCTGCAGAGAAAGCCCAACCATCTGTGGGTCCATGGTGCCTTCCGGAAGTGGTTGTCAGACTCCATCAACAGTTCCCACTGCATTTGTATCACTCTTGGCTCTGCCTTCTCATTGCCCACCATTGCTATAGATGTGAATGTGGAATCGAAGGGTCCTTTTGGTTTGGTGTAGGCCTCTCTGAGGTGCTGCAATACCCAGGCCTGTCCTATCTCTTCACAGAGACCCTTCTTCACCTCACCCAAGACCCCCCATGGGTCTCCTTTTTCCCAGGATTCTCAACCCTCAATTAGGAAGTTTACATGAGTGCACTGGTAGTGCAAAATATGTTGGACATCTTCCCAAAATAGGAAATTTAGTATATTCCTTATCTATAGTTGAGAAATCCACTGTGACTAAAGTATGATTAGACAAAATCAATTACTACTAATTATCATATTTTAATAACAATAAAAATATTTTTGGAGCATTGAATGGAACAGTCCTAGTGTTCAGTGGTTTACATGTAGTGTATTATTAGATTTTCCTGGAATTTCGACAACTAGAAAACATGTACAGTTATTTCAAAGGAAATGTTTCAGGTATTAAGAACTAAGATATCTAGAGTGCTAGCAGTAGTCTTAACAAAAGAAAAGTTAATAGAGAATATTTTTAATAAAAATACTTGATATGGATTAACAGCAGACTGGATGTTTTACATGACTTAGTTCTATGTCATATGCACCGCAGCGTTATAGGACTATTATTATTTGCTCTGTTTTACAGATGAGAAAACAGGGACACACATTCAGTAAATAATGTACATAGCAGTCATCAGTAGAGATGAGGCCTGCACTCCAGCCATTCAGATCAGTGCCCACATGCTCAACTGCCATGCCAGCAACTTGGCAGCTTGCCAGGAGCACTCCATCATGCACCCGCCATTTTATTAATAATCTGAATGCAGATGTAGAAGGCATGCATTTTCATGAGATGTACACAAAATACAAAAGCAGACTGGAGATGCTAACATGTTAGAAGATAGAAACAGCATTCATAATTATTTCCCTAGGCACATTTGATGCTGCAACACTTTTGGAGTTGAATTCAGGGCTTCAGAAAAGTATTTAGGTTGGATAACGATTTATTGTGAGGAGCTGTCCAGGGCGTTGTAAGATGTTCAACAGCAGCCCTGGCTTCTGACCACAGTTGCTAGTAACAGCCTCCAATTGTGACATCAACAATGTCTCCAAACATTGACAAACGTCACCTTGGAGGTGGAATTGCTTCCAGTTGAGAACAATTGACTTAGTCTTTACCACATATTATTGTTATTTAACTCTCATAATTGTGATAAGAGGTAGAGAGAGCCATGATTCCAGGTGGTGTGCTCTCATCAAGATGAAATTAAGTAGAGAATAATGTCAATCCCCGCACTTAAAAGCAAAACAATAGAAACCCACGATGAGAGAATTATGAGAGCATATGTGGAAAAAACATTTAAGTTTCTAGATGCATACGGTCTAAAAACTAGTAGGAAACATTTACTGAGGGCTTAGGCTTTTTCAGATTCTGCTAAGTGCTGTGTACACGGGTTCATTTTGCTTGTAATCCCTGTTTTAGAAAGGAGGAAAATGAAGCTTTAAAAAGTAACAAAGGTGCTGGCACAATGGCTCAAATAGTTAATCCTCACCTTGCAAGTGCCAGAATCCCTTTTGGGTGCCAGTTCCTATCCCAGCTGCCCCACTTCTCATCCAGCTCCATGCTTATGGCCTAGGAAAGCAGTAGAGGTTGGTTCAAAGCCTTGGGACCCTGCACCCAACCATGAGGGAGACCCAGAAGAAGCTCCTGACTCCTGGCTTTGGATCAACTCAGCTATGGCTTTGAAGACCTTCGGGAAACAAATCAATCGATGTAAGACCTTTCTGTCTTGTCTTCTCTGTTAATCTACCTTTCCAATAAAAATAAATAAATCTCTAAAAATATGTAAGTGACATATAACAGCAGAGGTCAAGTGACATTGCTGTGACTTGACTTCAAGCAGTCTTGCTCCAGAGTCAGTGTTTTTAACAATGAAATAGTATTACATCTCACAAAATGTAAGTCAATAAATAAAAAGACTCCTCACTGCTATGTATCTGGGACAACAAATATTAGAGCATTTAAATACATGTTGAAATTCGATTTGAAATTGAAGTTATATTCTCCACTGGCTCTGATGGATGTGCAAAACAGAGAATCAGGTGGGACTGCACAGGCTCTTGAGGACCCCATCAG